AAAATAAAAATATTTTAAAAAATAACTTATTTGTTTTTAAACATGTCCTTATTAGTCATTTAATATTAAACAACAACCATTAACTATTGTATAACCAAACAATTATATTTATTGAATCCGCTATTTACCATTTGCTATTTACCATTTGCTATTTACTTTCCGCTATTTACCATCTGCTATTTACTTTTCGCTATCCGCCTTCTGCTATCTGTTAACCACCATCCACTACTTGCTAGCGCTATCCGTTATCTACTACTTGCTATCCACTATCTGTTATCTGCTGAATTTTAACCGCTGTACCAAACAGGCACTAAGAGACAAACGTAACTTGAAAAAACCTAGAGGAATACTTAATAATAAATATTTTGTTTTGCTTAAAAATCACATAAACCTAATTGATATGTATGATATGCTTTTTTCATCCAAAAAAAAGAAGAAACTTTAATTTTCTTGCATCCATGCAAATTGAAAGAATTACCAAATTAGGAGGTTATTACTCAAAAAACTTAAAACTCTAAGCCCATCTATTGAAACCTGAAAAGATTGCATTACCCTGGCAGTCAGCCAGCAATCTACACTGACCAATAAAATCACTCCTCAACACGTGAGTGGAGATCAGTCACACGCTTGGCGTCATTTCACAGAGTCACGATTCGTCGGTGACGGAACCATAACCCCCGCAGGTAATCCACCCTCCACTAGAAGAAACAAAAATTTCGATTTTTTGGTAAGTTTTCATTTTCCATTTTCTTTCTGTTTTTCGAAGACAGGGAGGAGAACGAGGCAAACAGCATTCATCGTCGTCACTGAAAGAGAAAAAGAAACAGGAACTCTTCCTCCTCTCTCAGATCCAAATCCACCTTCGTTTCTCATGCAGATCTCTCGGAATACCGTATTCGGATCTTGATTGTTGAATTCTGATTGTTCTTGGAGTCTCCATCGCCGATTAATCTGTTGCAGTGACTGGTGCTGTTTGTCGATCTTAGTTGAGCTCTCGACGGAGCTTCAATCCTGAATCCAATCATGAATCCTTTCTCGTCCGGTACCCGTCTAAGGTGAGCTTTAACTTCGTACTCTTTACTTTTCTTCTGTCAGATCAGGTGAACGTAATTTGATGATTGAATGGTTCGGTTTGTTATTGAACGGCTGAGGTTGATGCATTTTCTGGAATATTGATTGAACTGAATGAATTTAGGGAGTTTGGTTGCTATTTATGTATCATTCTCTTAACTTGAAGGCAATTAATTCGGAATTTTGTATTAATTAGTGTTTTTAAGCTCTTTTGCTCCATAATTTGGTTCCCTTGATGAGGGTTGTTCTCTTTTCTATTTGATGTGATGTGTGAATTTATAATGGTTGCTTGCATATCATTAGTGTAGTTGGAACTGAAACTATTGGTTGGGGTGCAGAAATTTTAATGTTAGGATATAACAGCTTGGTTGATCTTTGGGTTTGGGTTTAGTCCTCTTTCTTGGAAATTAGGATAATGTTTGGTTTTTTTTGGTAAAATGCTCTCTTAAAGCAGAGTGTAAGAACTGCTGAAAATGCAGTATGATGTTCCTTATATTGGTAGGTGGAAATGGTAAACACTTGCTGCTTTGATGCAGGGACATGATACGAGCTATACGTGCATGTAAAACTGCAGCTGAAGAACGAGCTGTCGTA